TTATTAACACTGCTCACTCCAATGTTGGTATTCCTGACCAATGAGCTTGCAGGAGCTTGATTATTTTTTCGTTTATTTATTTAGTTGTTAAGTTTTTTTATATTCCACTCGACCGGACAGGAGCAGAAAAAGTAATTATGCACGTTTCGTCATTAATTGCTTGTTTTGTTTTTAGATACCTTGCTAAAAATGACACAAAAACGGCCTTGAGGACTATAGCTAAAAACACATCTCAGTTTTCCAAGCTATACATATACGTAAAATGCAAATTGTCATTCAGTAAAATAAATCCTCTTCTGAGCGTGACTGCACAGTGCGAATAATTCGCCAATAATATTTCAAAAAAATGCTTTCTGAATAACAAAGTCAACAAAAGCACTTCGAAAATGCACCGTGAGGATGCAGTGCGCGCCAAAACGTTGTGACGTACTTGTCCACGACTGGGTTCGATTTTTAATCCATGCCATATTCATCACAAAGCAGTACAGTTTGCTTCATTTCAAACAGCTCCCGGCCGTGTAAAGACGTGAACTGAGTTTCCGTTGACAATCGTTGAGACGAGGGTCCGAAGAAACCGCAGACGTACGTATTTCATCAAACTTCATCAAATGTAAAGCAAAGCACTTAAAGTTAATCAACAGCAACTTCAGTTGCGATTTTGCTCTAGATTTAGTTTCTAAGCTAGAAGAAACGAGTTTTAAAGTGCCGTTACTGCTTCTACGTGGCTTCGGTGTTTCGCCTTGGGAGTTGACTTTGCTTTGCCCTGAAAAACAGAAAAAGAAAAAGAGAGTTAACTCCAAATGTGTATCTGTAGAAAAAGATTTGAATGTTGCACTGTACTGTTTTGGTTTCGTGAACACAATTCAAATTCTTACCAAAACATCCACACCTTGGGTTCAGTAGTCAATTTACTGAACATTATTTGGGGTAGGACACTTTAGATTTGTAGAAATGAAAGAACCATGTTAAATGCTAAACAATAATTTTGAAAATAATTTCCTCTATCCCGCCGTTATCTACATCTCAAAGCTGTTTTCCCTTATAGAGAGACCGCAAGTCTGGAATGTTATATAATATAACTAAACCAAAATATTTATTTCCCTTTTCCCAAGTGCTATAGTGTGTACTGCATATCCCCTGTTTTCGTTCATTGTGAAATTTCTAAGCCCTGTAGCTAAATTCATGCTTTTCTGTTTAATTTACAGAGTTAAATTTCTCCAAGGAATAGACAAGACAGGTATCCACACCCGACATCAATGGATCATCAAGCACTGCAGGAGGGTGGTACGATAAGCCGACTGAGTGTATAATAAAAACGCTAAGGTCGCTAAGATATTCCGACAAAAACGGCGGTTAACATTAGCGCGCATGAAGCAGATAAACTAGCGACCAAAATTACCGGTTAACTGATTCGAGCGGTGGCATGCAATTTATCTTTGTCAAGAATTTAAACTTGCTGAATTACTCGAGCGAAGTTTAGGAACAGTCAAATTTTGTTTCAAATTTCGCGCGAGTCGCTGTAATTAATTAATTAAATTAGTTATTGAGAACAGAACAGTTGTTTATTTACGGGGTCTAGCAAAATTTACCTAAGAAACTCCTTTTCTAACGAAAATATATACTCAATAAATTGTCTTGGAAGAGGCTAAGTTGGGTGATGCTGAATATTTAGTTTTTCGAAAATGGGGCCGGGATTAGATGAAGATACACGTTTACAGTTAACTTTGTAGTATTACCGATGTTTTGTAGAGTACACAAATAGCAAATTTCAGAAAACTATGTTTTGTCCTAGTGCTATTTTAAGTTTAGCATTCAAACGTTATGCCTGGTTCAATCGTTTTCGAGTTTGTGCGTCAAATTCTCGCTGCAATCAACATTTCGTTGTAAGCAAAGTCTGACAAAAAAATTAAACGGACTACACAAAATTTTCATTTTCGATATCAGAGTTTTCGATTAATCTTTAACTAGCCTGCAGGCAGGCTCAGGTTGGAGCGCAAGTGCGCGCAGCATAGCCGCGAGACGAGAAATTGAGCCTGCTCTGATCCCTGCAAATTTTCCATTTCCACCCCAGGAAATTTCCATTTCCATTTCCATTCCAAGTGATCTTGCTTTGGCAGTTTGGTCTTTGATGATGCTGGTAAACGGGCAAGTTACGCCTTCGCGTTGTTTCGTTGCCCGCTTGCAATTACATACGCTTGTATTATATTAGCGGTCCGGGTTCGAGCCGTGGCCGTGGAGATTGTGTTGTGTTCTTGGGCAAGACACTTTACTCTCACAGTGCCTCTCT